TCTTACACAGATGATAACAGCATGATTATAACAGCATGCTGGAGAATGTACCCAATATTTTATGGGCAGGCATATAGGTAAAGGTAAAGGTTATCCCCTGACATTAAGTCTAGTCATGCCTGACTCTGGTTTGGTTCTCATCTCCATGTCTAAGCTGAAAAGCCGGCATTGTCTGTACACGTCTCCAAGGTCATGTGGCCGGCTTGACTGCATGGAGCGCCATTACCTTCCTGCCAGAGTGGTACCTATTGATCTCCTCACATTTTCCTGTTTTTGAATTGCTAGGTTGGCAGAAGCTGGGGCTAATAGTGGGAGCTCATCCCACTCCCTGGATTTGAACCAGCAAATTTCTGGTCAGCAAGTGTTGCAGCTCAGTGGTTTAACCCACTGTACCACCAAGGGGCAGGCATATATATGTGTGTAAAAATCGCAAAAAGCTGGGTAGACACCCTGAACAGTTATGTGATGAAATATGGTATATATCTAACAGTATAATATAAACTTTGTTTGAAAAACTAAATGTGGGAGAAGGTTGTTATGCAGCATGTGTTTTAATCCAACGTCCCAACACCCAAAAACCCAGATGCAAAATAGTCTCAGACCAATAGTCAAAGTGAACAGAAAATCTTTACTCTCTTTACTTTGCAGAGATGAAACAAAACTGGCAATGCAGCACACAAAAATCAGCAGTGTAACATATTTACACAGTCTTTGTAATATGCATAAAATAAAACATCTTCTAAGCAGCAAATGGAAAATCAAAACAACCTGACGCAAATAGCCATTTCACCATCAGCATCTCCTGCTAGTACTCCACACTTGTGAAACAGAACTCAAGCAGCCCACCAGATATTTCTGTCACCTGCAGAATTCTGAGAAATGTAATTTTGGGTGGGGCCTTTTGAATTCGCAACTACAGAGGTCAATGCAATATTCTGGTGTGATAACGTAGTAAAGACATATGGCCAGAAATACAACATCACCAGCAAGCCTGAGGGAGAGTGGCTTGCTGTTGGTGAGGCAGTGGCAATGCCCCAAAACATCCTCAACTTCGCCGTCATGTGAAGGCCAACGGGACCCAGGGCTGTACTGGAGCAGCTACAGAGATAAGTTGTTGTAGGTTTTTCGAGCTGTATGGCCATGTTTTAGAAGTATTCTCTCCTGACATTTTACCTGCATCTATGGCAGGCATCCTCAAAACCTCTGAGGATGCCTGCCATAGATGCAGGTGAAACATTAAAAGAGAATCCTTCTAAAACATGGCCGTACAGCCTGAAAAACCTACAACTCAGTGATTCCAGCCATGAAAGCCTTCGATGAAACAGCTACAGAGATGTTTAAATTGGATTTTTTTGTTGAGTGTAGACATGGCCAAAAAGAAAATATATTGTAGCAGTATCCTGTCTTTTTTCGTGTCAGAAGCGACTTGAGAAACTGCAAGTCACTTCTGGTGTGAGAGAATTGGCCATCTGCAAGGATGTTGCCCAGTCGATGCTCGGATGTTTTACCATCCTGTGGGAGGATTCTCTCATGTCCCCATATGGGAAGCTGGAGCTGACAGACAGGAGCTCTCACTCCATCTCACATATTTGAACCACTGACCTTCAGGTCAGCAGTTCAGCTGGCACAAGGGTTTAACCCATTGAACCACCGTGGCTGCTGAATATGGGTTTAGACGCAACCATTTCTTTGCTCAAATCCTATCTAGAGAAAGAAAAGTCTGTCCGTTTTACCTTCTCCCACATTTAGTCTTTCAAACAAATTCCATATTTTTACTGTCAAATGTACAGAAAATGTGTGCATTTCTAAAATTCATTAATCAAAAACTGAAGCAAATTCTCCCTATTTACAAAATCTAATTGTTGTTGCCTAACGTATCATAATCCAATCAGAGTTTGCTTAGCAAAGTTTATTCTGAAAAAGGCTACAATCCTATAGTCATTTACTTGGGAGTAAGTCCCATCAAACGCAGTGGAGTTTACTTTCAAGCAGACATACATAAGGTCAGTCCATTGGCTTAACTATTTCACAATACAGAATCAATACTTTGGAAATACAACCCTAGCTCCTGAAACTAAATGAAGAGTAGTTTAAATCCTCAGCACATTAATATTTTTCCAAAGTATATGGGGCACTACTTTTGAAAGAAAAGACTAACAAAGGAACTCCCTGTGAATCTGCCAAAATCTGACTCAAAGGGAAAGTAAACCATCTCCCAAGAGCCTCTGTTATCCCTTATGGCCAGTGTTTAGAATTGCCTTGCATTTATCTTTCTATGAAGAATTCTCTGTCTGGTTGTTTATACAGGGCGATGTGGTGACACGTGCTGTAAACAGATATACATTTTCCAGGACAGGAAGCAGAAATGCAAAAGGAAATCAGAATCACACCAGAGCACCACAAATCATTTTAAGAAGTTAACCATCTTAACTTGGATATATTTGAAGACTCTATGTTGGACCAGATTCTATTTATGAACTAGGGAAAAGGAATGAAAAGCCAAGTTACGTGTGATGGAGAAAATCTGTGAGGATCTATTATTTTGCATTTTACTTTAAGTAGCTACAGGAACCTGTGAAGATTCGCTATGTAACAAAACTTGAAAAAATGTCCTATTCCAGGTTTGAAAGTGTTATTTCCTGTTTAATTGTGCAGTACTTACTTTGAAAGTAGTTATTTTAAACTTTTCATATGCCTTTTTAACCCTTTGTGCAGACTGCAAAAACAATGTTTTTACAGTTTAATAATAATAATAATAATAATAATAATAATAATAATTATTATTATTATTATTATACTTTATTTGTACCCCGCTACCATCTCCCCAAGGGACTCGGTGCAGCTTACATGAGGCCAAGCTCACAATATATCAGTAAAAACGATAACAACAGTAATACAAAATAATAAAATAAAACTCAAACAGAAAATAAGCAGTAAACATTAACAATAACACAACAACATTCAAAAACCTATGGCTGGCGTCTGTTTGGAACAGCATTATGTGGTCAGTGTAGACCAGCATTTCTCAAGCTGGGGGTCGGGACCCCTAGAGTGTCTCGAGGAGGTTTCAGAGGGGTCACCAAAGACCATCGGAAAACATATATTTCTGATGGTCTTGGGAACTCCTTTGTCAAAGGCTGAAGATCTCTCCATCTGTCCTCTTCCTTTTTGGAAACAGACAGCGAATTCTCCCACCAAAAGCCCCCCCTCCTGCTGTGATTGTAGGTGAACTATAAATCTCAGCAACTACAACTCCCAAATGTCAAGGTCTAATTTCCCCAAACTCTACCAGTGTTCATATTTGGGCAAATTGAGTTATTTGTGCCAAGTTTGGTCCAGATCCATCACTGTTTGAGTCCACAGTGCTCTCTGGATGTAGGTGAACTACAACTTCAAAGCTCAAGGTCAATGCCCACCAAACCCTTCCCGTATTTTCTGTTGGTCATGAGAGTTCTGCATGCCAAGTTTGGTTCAATTCCATCATTGGTGGAGTTCAGAATGCTCTTTGATTGTAGGTGAGCTATAAATCCCAGCAACTACAACTCCTAAATGGCAAAATCAATCCCCCCCAACCCCACCAGTATTCAAATTTGAGCGTATCAGGCATTTATGCCAAATTTGGGCCAGTGAATGAAAATACATCCTGCATATCAGAGATTTACATTACGATGCATAAAAGTAGCAAAATTACAGTTGTGAAGTAGCAACAAAAATAATTTTATGGTTGGAGGTCACCACAACATGAGCAACTGTATAAGGGGTCATGCCATTAGGAAGGTTGAGAACCACTGGAACAGACTGAAGTAATTCAGTTTAATTGCATTTCAGGCTGTGTTATATGGCTGTGCAGACAGGCCCTTAGCGGGCATAGAATTAGCTTCTAGGGCTGGGCGGTTTCGTTTCGTTAATTCGTAATTCGTTAATAATTCGTTAATTTTTTCAATTACAAAACGATAACGAACCATTCTGGAGCAATTATTAAAAAACCGAATTTTCAAAAACGTTTTGTAAATGCTTCGTATTTCGATATTGTATTCGTTTCGTTATTGTTTTGAGGTCGTTTCGTTATTATTTCCGCATGTCTGGGCCAGTTTTATGGTTTAATTAGTGAAAAAAATTATAATATCACACCAACAGTCAACAACAGAGGGAGAGGGAAGCTTCAGAAGGTTTTGGAGGTTTTTTAGCGTATTTCGCGGTCGCGTCCGCCATTAACGAATCGATTCGTTATTGTTTCGGAAATCGATTCGTTAATTTTTCCATTTACGAAATTTCGTAAATATCGAACTTTTTAAAAGGAAAATTTTGTAATTATTTTAAATATCGAAACAAAAAAAAACCCCAAATACAAATCGATTTTAGAAACAAATTTTTCCGTTGTTACCCAGGCCTATTAGCTTCCTAGAATGCAGAACTTTATCGTCCAGTGGAAGAGAATGATGCCATCATTGCCCCCTTTGACCCAATATCTATCCTCCCCATGAGATGACTGCCACATTTTTCCTGAAAAATTTGGTCTTGCTGTGCCCCTGAGGAAAGTTCCTAACGAGCAGAAAACTCCCTGAGCAACTATTTCCAGCTATAGTGAGTTATAAAAAAATTAATAACAGCAAATGCCTTTCAAATCCATTGGCTTTCCTCCTTCATTTAATTATCTTCTCCTATTCCTCTTCCTCCTCCTCTTCCTCTCCCTCCTCCTATGCATTTTATCCAAACAGAGCCTTTTTATCCTCTTTGTGAATTCTTCCCTTCTAAAAAAAAAGAAAAAAAAAGGGGGGGGACCTGAAATGATATTATTTTGATGTTATTTTTAAGGGGAAAAAGGTTCGTTGGACTATCTGAGAGTATATGTATGTGTAGGTCATTAGTTTCTTTTTTTAGACTCGCTCTGTAATTTTTTCCCTTCGACTCTGAGCAGATTCCTGACAACTTTATTTTTGTAGCTGACTTGCAGCAGATTCAACGATTTGCAGTCTCCCTAAGTGTCAGGCTTGTGGGTGGTCTGCTTCATTTCGAATGTCTCTGGCCAAATGTGAATAGAAAACAGCTTTTTGTTCCACAGACTTTTGGACTTTAACCTTAACTACTTACCAGGATATAATCATCCACACATTCCCGATTGCCAGTACATAAACTATTAGGCTGCCCAGCGCTACAGCTGGAAGGGAAGAGCTTCTCTCTAGTGGCTAATTTAATCGACAACATCAGAGCAAGAAGGTAGCTTGTCGTTTTTATTCCAATTATGATGAGTTGTATCTATTAGACAGTCGGATTGTTTCTTTTACTGGAATGCAACTGTTATAGGAAGAACTGTTTCCGTATAGCTTGAAGGCCAACTCATGTTCTGTTTTACAGCACATCAGACAATCTAGGGGGAAATAGAGAGGATACTTAGAGGCAAGCATGCTATGCAATGCTTGGGTTTTTTTTCTAATCATGATACTGTTCTAAGAATACTAGGGACAGGAAAAATATTGATTGTTCCCAAAATTAAAATATTAATTCCCAAAATGCTGTTTGTTTGCTTTTTCTTTTTCTTTTTTCTTTTTTGCAGAAGTAAAACAAGTTTTCCTGTTCAAAAACCCTCCTGTGTTGTTGCTGCAGAAAATACTGTTCCCTGCACAAGGATTTCTTCCCTTTCTGTGAAGGAAAAAGGATTTTTGCACATGTATTTTCTATCCAGGATACTTCTTGATGTTCAAATCTGGGAATATACTGCAGATAAATATTTGTTTTCTTCCATAGCAGGGTGAAAACTACTCCATCATTGCAGGTGAAACTGGTTAGAATTATAACAGGATGTCTACATCCAACACCACTGGAGAAATTATACTGTTTAGTCGGTATTGCACCACCTGACATCCGTTGGGAAGCAGCAGCCTGTAATAAAAGGATCAAGGCACTGACCTCTCCGGCCCACCCTCTGTTCGGATATAAGCCATCAAGCCAATGCATTAAGTGAAGAAATAGCTGCAGAGATCTGCAGAGATACTCACAGGAATACCTAAGCAAGCAAGAGTCCAAAAGCGGCAGGCAAAAAACCCAGAACCTCAATCAGTGGCTGATACCAGATGAGAAACTCCCTCCTGGGCACATAGAAGTTTGGGCGACTTGGAAGGCGCTGAACAGCTTGCGCTCTGGCACCACGAGTGCAATCTTCAGAAATGGGGCTACAAAGTGGAGTCCACGACATGCGAATGTGGAGAAGAACAAACCACAGACCACTTACTACAATGCAGTCTGAGCCTTCTCGCATGCACAGTGGAGGACCTTCTTACAACGACACCAGAGGCACGCCAAGTGGCCAGCTTCTTGTCAAAGGAAATTTAGTATAATGCCAAATTTTTAACTTTGTTTGTGTTTTTCTATACATTACTGTATATCTGTATTCTCAATTCACTTCTGACATGATAAATAAATAAATACTCCTCAATTCTGTGGGAATCATTGTGTGGGATTCAGAGCTTTTTTAAAAAGTGAAGTGTTTAAAAAAGTAACTGAAATAACATAATATTTATTCATACGTTACTTTTTATCTAATTTGATCTGATTTGTCAGGATAGTGCTTATTATTATTATTATTATTATTATTATTATTAAAAATTGAGCAAGAAGAACCTGATTACTGGGAGCACTCCAAGCTCTGCAACAACAACTCCTGGGAGTTTGGCACGGCATATAGACTATTGTATATAATCCAAATGAAATGTGACAGAGCCCATCAAAAACAGAGCACCATTCCCATTTTTAAAAGATTCTGTAGTAAAACTAATTACATTGCAAATACCATATTTGGTTTTTTTCTCACTGTAGTACAGATCTGAAAACTGGCTATAATCATGCAGCATGAAGAAGTGGCTTCATGGTATCCTTTTGCATGTTAAAGATTTAATCTGCACCCAGAAGATAAAGATGTCAGTGTGCTCCATAGCTGCAATAGTGTGATAAACACTATAATGCCATGATTTCATTCAAAGGAATCTTGGGATCTGTAGTTGTTTCATTAGAAAACTCTAGTCCATTCTCTTGTCAACTATTGTTCCCCGAGTGCCTATTTCTATTGCAGAATTAAATTGCTTACAATCTGAATTCAAAAATATGTCTGCTGTAGTGGGTACAATTAGATTTAAGATGCTTTGGTCAGCAGAGATACTCTTCCATTTCTGGAAATGATTCTGTTTCTGCTTTAAATGATGAAATTTAATTTGGTCATTTCAATGTTGTTTGTTTTTTGATCCTCATCACCAGCAAAACAACAGAAAACATAGCTTGGCAAATGACAACGTCTCCCATTTGGCTCCGTACAATATTATCATCCCCATGTGGTTTTTCTACCATGTCTGCAGTACAGAATTCCCTTACTCAAAATCACATAGATCCAATTTCTAGCTCCCAAGGGAGCTATCAGAAAGAGATGAAGGGCACTGGGTTAAATCCTGTTTTACTAGCCAACCTGGTTTGTATTACAGAGATTGAGGGCACATCAGATTTGCACAGAAGTTTATCCAGTGACTAATGCAAGAGGCTTTGGTCAGCTCACAGCTTCTACTTGGCCTTGTGATAGACTGGCCAGAGCTTTTTCCCCCTCCATTTGCAAGATAAAATCATATCAGTTTTACTTCTTTGCAGCCTCAATGGCTAGGAAAATAGTTAAGCTGATGGACTAGATGATTTGAAATAACATTAAAATACTTATGATTAAATTAACTCCAAAGAAAACCTCTAGTTTTTCTTTTAAAGTCTTAATTGCAGTCAGCACCATAATCAGGCATGCCCTAGTTAACAAAACTTCTGATTTAAGGTGCATCCACATTGTAGATTAGTTCGGTTTGCCTCCAATTTAATTCCCATAACTCAATATTATGGAACCCTAGGATTTGTAATTTGATGAGACACTAGTACTTTTTGGCTGAGAAGGTTGAAAACTACAACACCTATGACTCCATAGCATTGAACCATAGTAGTTAAAGTGATGTCAAACTGCATTAATTTTACAGTGTAGATATATAGCCAAACAATCTCCTTGGGACACTTTCCCAGCCCTCTATTCCTTCTTGTCCTTCATCTAGCTTGAAGCTCCTTTTAGCAGCATTGACATTCGAATGATAATAAGGAAGATCTGGATAAACACAGACTTTTGGTGTTGGATCAAAACTGTGTGCCTACAATAAAGCTTGAGCTGGGAAGTAATAAGATTCAGCTTTAGCCAATCTTACTGTAGCCATGTGTGCTTGTGTAGAACAGGCAAAGTAAAGTAAGGTTGCCTACCTGTAACCGTGTTTCTTTGAGTGGTCAACTGTGAAATTCACACCTGTAAAGTTCCCCCCATAAGCCATACATTTCAAATTTGAAGAAAATGCTATACTGGCCTGAGTAGGATACCAAAGATCCCAGAACACAAGTTGGAATTGCAATCTGTTAGAGTAGTCAAACTGGAGTCCTTAAGTCAAACCAATAGTTGTTTTAGGAGAGTAGAAAACATTGAGTTGTTACTGCTTTTGTGGACAGAAGGAACTAAGGCCTCAGGCCCCGCTGCCTGGCTTTATTACTGAAGTGGATGGGTGGGCCTGGAGTCCCTGATTTGGCAAAAGGATTTTAATAAGGATCTGAATCAGCTGTGTGGACGCAGGAATTACCACAGGTGTGGATTTCACAGTGACCACGCTGAAGAAACAGGAGTTGCCTTCAGAATCCCTAACTGAGCACACATCAAGTGTAAAACAGAGAGAAATGTGAAAGCAGATTGGATTGATCCATTAGTTCTCCCAGGGATGAAAACAATTTTTCAATTTTTTAAATTCCAAATGCATTCTAAAGACCCAAGAAAGCCTCAAAGTATGATGAGAATGTCTCCATGTCCTCTAGATGGCATTTGAAGGGCATTGTGGTGAGTTTGATGGTCAGTGAGGCCCTCTGAGGTTTCCTATGGAGCTATTGTGACATTCCCACCTTTCACAGGTGCCCATCTTTGACTTAGTGGCTAGCAGAGAGCATGACGCATCAGAAAATATTTGACTATGTCTCCAAAGCCAGATAAGTTGATGTCATCTGCTAGAAACTCCAGATAATTACCAGAGGTCCAGGGCTATGTTGTCACCATACTGGCCATATGTACATAGCAAGATGCTTCTCCAATGCTTTCATCTCAACCACTTACTAAATGGCTGTGATGTGTTCCCTCCAGCAGTGTGAGTCCTGAAGGGGGTGAGTGGCAAGATATATTGTAGCTTCACCTATGTGAAACTTTATGAGAGAAGAAAAAAGAGATTTCATCTAAACATTAGGAAGAACTTCCTTATGATGAAAGCTATTTGAATGTACTGCCTGGAGTGAGATGGAGTCTTCTTCTCTGGAGGCTTTAAAACAGAGACTGAATGGCAAGCTGTTGAAAGTGCTTGGATTTTGTGTTCCTTCACACAAAATCCAAGTGGACTAGATGGCCCTTGTGATCTCTTCCAACTCTGTGATCTTGTAATCTCCAGATACATGATCTTGACCTTACTGTTTGTAATGAGTTATTTTCAAGGTCTGATCTTAAAGCTATATACAATGGTCCTGAACAGAAAATCTGCATGTGAAGACATATATCTCCTTGGCTTCATACTTGGAATACAAATATGAAGGGTGTGTTTGTATATGAATTAAATGACTTACAGTTAAGCTCAGGGTTTCATATCTCAATGAACAGAGTCAATAGCACAGTAGAAAATTCCACCCAGACTGCTGTGAATGATGAACTCCCTCTTTTCATCCCCGCAACTCCACTGATATCAATAGTAGGTAATCCATAGTGACAAAATGTCACACAATCCCCTTCACTTTTTCAATCTTATATTGTGGGATGGTTTCTCTACTGATTGAGCCAATACATTTGTCAGCAGTACTTTTACCGCCAACTTAGAGACTTCATTTTTGCTCTCTTTACCTTCATTTCAGCATGAGGCAGTTCTAAAGCATTGCGTACATAGTGCACACAACTTTTCCTTATGAGAAACCACAGCTTCAGAAGTTGAATTTATGGTTTGTTGACCAGTATGACTTCAATGGGCTTTGAACTAGTCCTAAACTATACACATGTGGAAGATATGGAAACAGTTTGTAATGGTAGACTTTTTGCCATTCATAATAATTTTCTTTTTCTAATTTAATTAAAATGGGAATGTTGCACTAGAAACATACACTATCCTCATACACGATGACGCAGATGTGCACATTCTCTGCACAGGGATCAAGTGACCATCCCCTCCTCCCTCTCAAACTTTGCATCATGTGGTCCTAATGTATGCTCTCATTCCTCTCCCACAGTTTAAAGTTGTTAAGGATAGCAAAAACAAATAGTCATCTATGGAGTTCATAAGATTAACCTGCATGTGGAAATTAGAAAGTAATTTCTCAAGCGGAACATGGGAGAGAGACTATATTTCATAGGCACAGCTTGGGCTCTTTTGAACTGTCCCATTGTCTGGGCAAAGAGGTACTGGAAAGTGTCACTCACAACAACATAAATCACCTCTGGATAACTCTACTCCCAGTCAGCTTAAGAAAGCTGTTTATTGTTTTCAAGGGAATGCTCCAGGACCTACCATAGCTAAATCAAAGGAATGGCACAGCATTCCGTTCAATGTTATCGTTAAAGAAAAATTCTGTTTAAAGCAAAACTATAAATTTGTGACTGTTTTGCAAGAGGTTGAAATTTACACTTCAGACCATGGAGCACTTAAAAATATTTCCAAGCTTAGTTTACAGAGGCAGTGAGAACATATTGTGTATGCCTATGTGAGTCTCATCTGTCCCTCATCAGGGTATGTTTTTGAAAACTAGTCTGCTTTTCCTGGTTGATGTTGAAAAATTCCATCTGGTGGTGGCCTCATGATAAAATTCTGATAAAGCCATGACACTACCACATGCTTAGTAATGTTGTGAAGGGAGATGTACGAACATTGTAGGAAGATGTTGGAACACTGCCTTCTGTCCAGATCTGTAGTAGAAGGCAAACCTATGCTCTCACCCTTGGACATGGGTTTCCATTTCTGACCAGAGACATTGCTGATCAACGATACTGGAGAAATCCAGGCAAGACATGCACACTGTAACAGAAAGCTGATTTCCCAATAAACCTGGATCAAAAATAAATATGTGTAATCTAAAGCTAACTATGCACAAATGTGTACAAACAGATGTACAGCTTCCATGAACATAGACAATCAGTTTCAATGTACAAAAAGCATCTGGCAGAAATTAATATCTTTTCTGAAACATAAAAACAAATCTCTTACTTTGCTAACTTGAGGCCTTTTTACACCACAATAAAAGAGTGGTATGATTCCACTTTAACTGCCACCCATACTCTCATGAAATAATGGGGTTTGTTCATGGCAGGGGTCCAACTGGATGGTCTACTGTGGTCCTTTCCATCTCTATGATTCTGTGATT